GGGAGGGGCAAGGTTGAAGCCTGGCTCATGGACTCATTCCACAGATACTGACTGAGGTTGACTGATGGCCCATAGTTTAGAGACAGTGAAGGGTGTAATGGGTTCCTGACGTTAGAAAGGAAAGAACACAACCTGAGAGCGTGGTTGCTGGGGGGCTTTGTCCACATTAAAGTTATCAGAACATTACAGTTAAAACGGCCTCGAGAAGACAATGGTGTTATCATCCCCAAGAAAACAAACAAAATGTGTCCATGCATCCAGTTAAGTTTTATGTCAGGTGACATAGCAGATTATGAGCTCAGGGAGCAAGGTGAAGGTGATTGAGGATGTGGCTGTCCTCCAGACCACAAGGCTTCTCTGAGGGAGGTGAGGTCAGGAGCAGCATGAGAAGCAGGGTCAGGGCTGGGCAGGGTGGGGGTGGGCTATCTTAATGGAGCCCTGTGAATGACCCAGGGCCATGTAAAAGATGGGTGATTTTTCTTGAAAGAAGAGAGATGTAAAGACTCTTCTCTGGATGAATTTAGAATTTAAAAGGAGGCAAGCTGGAGGGCAGACAGTGCCACCCTAGAGGGCAAAGGGAGAGATTCCATCTTCTGTCCCTCCCAGGAGGAAAAGGGTGGGTCACCTCTGGGGAAGATGGGATTAGCTCAGCAACTGGGTGGAGAAGATTAAATCTAAGAATGTGAGCAGAGGGAGAATCGGCCAGCCCTGGGAAGTCAAAGATTTCCAAGCCAGAAAAGCACTGAGGGTGGATGTGCTGGGCTCTTTGGGATCTTGGTGTCAGGGACAGAAATATATTGGGCCAATCTCATGTAACCATGTCACCATCATGGCAGCTGCGACCAAGAATCATTTATCTGAGAGTCAGGGTTCTTCCACAGAGAACCCTTCCCAGATAGCAAGTGCCTTCCCTCAAGACACCATGTCTCCATTCCTGCCTTCATGCCACCCCTTCACTCACCACACCCCCAATGATCTCCCTTATGACCATTGGCCTTCAGGTCCCCACTTCAGTAAGCCTGTCCTCCAATGTCACTCTCTTCTATTTTTCTCTAACATCACTGCGGCCTGCTGGATGAAAGGCTCTGTGAGGCCAGGGTGTAATCATGGCCCGTTAGACGTGTGTGCAATGAATGGGTGGCTCTTGGTGGTCTGAGGGGGGCCAGCTGTGACCAGCCAACTGCTCCCACGTGGAGCTCTTGTCCTGCACAGCCTTCCTCTAGACCCCCATTCTTCTCCTGTCAGTCACTCACCCCATAGACACCCCTGAGCACCCGGTGTGTGTGCCAGGCTCTGACTCTGGGGAACTCTGAGTCACGTAGAGAAGACAGCACCACTGAACAGACTCTGGAGTGAGGAGAGGAAGCACTGTAGTGAGTGCTGATGCCTGTAGCTAAGCTCTCCTGGAAACGGACAGCACAAACACAGGCTGCCTCCACGAAGAATCATGGAATTTGTCTGCAGTACAAAATCACTGCCAACCACACATATGTGGGCTTATGAGCTAAGTGCCAATAGACCTGACGTGCCCAGTGATTCCTGAGCTGGGCTGCTGCTGGCATTTTCTGGGAGGGAGAGGCAGTTTTGCACAAGGGCTGAGCAGGAATGCCCAGGTCACCCTACTTGGGTTCAAATCCCAGCTCAGGGTCCCAATCCCTGTGTGACCTCAGGCTAGTCACCCCCAGTCCTGTCTCTCCTTTATAAGCAGGCGTGATGGTTAGAACCCACCTTGGGCACCTATTGTGGACGGTGGTGCTGACAGTGGAGATCTTCCCAGGGAGGCCTGTCCTAGCTCTTAGACAATTTTTTTTTCTTGCCTTTTAATTTTAACTTTTTTTTG